AGAGTTGTGCCCCCATCACTTTCTCTTTGCCCACAAGGAAATCTCTGGCTCATGTTTCAGTCTCTACAATATCTTTCCTCACCTTGATTTTACTCTTTCAACTACTGTCTTTATTATGCACTTTATACGCCATGTCCTCTAAAAACTATGGCTTGAATCATTTTTGTAAAAATACCCCTATCTTTGGTAGAAATAGTCTCGCATCATCCTACCTGCCTTCTCTCATTAACTGAAAAATATTTCCGTACTATTATGAATTGTGGGTCCATATACTGACTCTCACAAAGACTGCTGGGAGTTGCTTCCAAGCAAGGACAATGAGAAAGATTGAGGTTTAATATCCTAGGACTCAGATATCTTCTAATAATAATTGAGCCTTCAAATTATTATTGTATTCATTCAATTCAATTATTATATGGTTCTCAGTTCCCCAAGGCCAAGAAGATTTCCAGGTTGGCGTCCGTTAATCAGGAATGCAGTGCAATGAACAGCCATGTCGAGAAAAGAACAAATTGTGTCCAAATTTAAATAACAAAATGAGAGAGAGTGGTCCATCTAAATTCCAAAGGTATTTTTAATGCCAGAAAAAACTTCAATAACAAATAATGAAATAATTTTTTAGAAAAATTATATGGAAATAGCTTTTTAAATTTATATTCAACAAAAATGTATTGAGCCCTTTTTACCTAGCCACTGGGGCTGTAGACATGGCCCTTACCCTCATGGAGTGTACAGTCTGCTGGGAAAACCGGACATTATACAAGCAGAGAAAGTACAGACAGTGTTAAGAGAGGAAGAATAGAGGACATTGTGGGGACACGTAGCTGGGAGTTTTAAATAAGAGGGGTCCCTGAGAAAATGATGTTTGATCTGACATCAAACCTTGAGAAATAATATTTTCTTATACAGATAATTTTTATTGACACATAGTTGCAGTTTCTCATTATGTTATAGAACACACTTGGACCTTTGTTTATTATATAGATTCACCCAGGAGTGATATTCAAAATATCCAATGACAAGTAAGGCAGAAGATAGGCCAATTAGAACAGAAGCAAGCCACAGCGCTGGGTCGGGATCCTGGAAGCTGCCTTTTGTGCTGTGCGTTAGCCTTTAATTGCCCAGTCATGGGGAGAGGCCTGGGCATCCTGAGAGAGGGTCTCCAGTGGAGAGGGACCATTGGGGAACCACTGTATCTCCACTGGTACTTTTTAAAAAGTATAAATATGTCCAATGTATTCCAAGGGGCATACTTTTGTTTTAGTGGACAAATAAACTGTATATATTTGTGGCACACAACATGATATTTTGTTATATGTATACATTGTGGAATACTAAATCAACTAACACATCCAATACCTCAAATACTTATTTTTTGTGGTGAGAATATTTTAAATCTACTCTCTGAGCAATTTTCCAGTATACGATACATTGCTATTAACTATCATCACCAGGTTGCACATAGCTCTTCTCTACTGGTACACACTGATTAGATATCAGTCCTGGGCACACTTGGTTTCTCTATTAAAATTCCCTCGTCTTGAATAGTTCAGTCAAATTCGATCCCCCAAATTTAAATCCCTTATTATTTAAGATAGCCACATTGTACAAAACTAATCATTAACAAAAAGTTAAAATAGTCTATCTGAGAAAAATAAGAAGTTACTGGTTTTAAGAAAGCATTAAATTTTAATGTGTTGGGAACCATTTTTTCCACATAGTTCTCTTTTTTGTTTGTTTGGTTTTTTTTGTTTGTTTTGAGATAGAGTCTCACTATGGTGCCCACGTTGGTCTCAAACTCCTGGACTCCAGTGATCCTCCTACTTAGCTGGAAGTACAGGGACATGGCACTGCACCCAGCCTCCACATAGTTATAAAGCGTGACAACATTAAGAATGCTTGATTTATATTTCTTAAGAAATAATCAAGTCATTTAAAGAACAATCTCTAAATGTAAGCAGTTCTAAGAATATATTGAATCTTTGGGTTATGATTTTATCTGATAAGTTCAGGCACCTCTTTCAATGTAGGAAAAAGTAAGACATTTTAGCATAAGGTTAAATGTATTATTGAATCCACAAAGTATCAGCAATTGGCTAGTACAAAAAGAAGTATGTTACTGCTTAAGAATCAAACATAAATTTATCTCCATCAGAAAAGAACATTACACTAATTGAGCTTGGAGGTACTGTTGTATTGTTAAGTATAATGATCTATTTAAATGAGGTCATCATTTTTACACTTGCAAAATATGATAAGCCTGGCTTCCAGGGACTAATCCAAGCTTCACAAAATCTAAACATTTAATGCTAAAAAATGCAATTCTTATACTTACTAAAAGATCTTATAACTAAAGCAGAAATGCTTACATGAATAACTGATTTGTACTAAACACTGTTAACCCATGAGTTTGTTTATGCCCTATCCTGAGGTAAATTCGGACTTTCGGTTAATTCTAGTAGAAATTTGTTCACTTCTCCCTGGTTCTTCATTTGAACATGTCAAATAGTTACAAATATTTATATGATAACCTTTTCTATTTTAACTGCATCAAATATAAGCACTGTAAGAAAAGAAGGGGAAAATTGTTTCTTTAACAAATTATGACACAGTTTATGCTAAAAGGCAAATTGTGAATTTCTTTCATCCTCATATGGCTTACACCTACAAAAGAGCATTGTTACTTGTTTGATAAGAGCATTATCAAATGGGTATTTTCAGAATCCTTTATGAACACTGCTCTAGTAAAAATTTAGGAGATGCATGTCACAGATATTCACATCTTAGCTCATTTATCTGCAAGTCAAAGACTAGTTTTAAGCAAAGGAGAATTACTTTGCTTAAGCAACTCCAAGTGACTGCCATTTCTAAAACCCAGGAGGAAAGTGACAAGTACTGGGACAAGCCAGAAGAAGAGTCATTTCCAGGCCTGCAAGAGCTTTTCTGGCAACCTAAATATATTGACAGAGAAGTTGTTGGGTCTCCATATTTCTTCAGTAAGCTTCCATTTGGCAGGCCCACTTTAATCAAGTAGATGATTTAAGTTCAGCAATTGCTACAAAATAATTCTGACTCAAACTTGCAGGCCTTTTTTATTTGTAGTTTCCCCTCACTCCGCTTTTACTAATAGGGAGGCAAAAATGTGTCCTTTGGACACAGCATCTTATGTTTGGTACAGGCTTTGGAAACTGCATTGTGGATGGGACCAAATACGGGCTTTTGGGGATCTGACAGACCCAAATGTAAATGACTGTTCCTCCATCTACAACCTGAGTAATCTGAGTAAGCCATTTAACCTCTCAGGGTTTCTTTCTTCTTCTTCTTCTTCTTCTTTTTTTTAACATGGAGTGTCTCTGTGTCCCCCAGGCTGGAGTGCAGTGGTGTGATCTTGACTCACTACAACCTCTACCTCCCAGGTTTAAGCAGTTCTCCTGCCTCAGCCTCCTGAGTAGCTGGGACAACAGGCACACGCCACCACGCCCACTAATTTTTTGTATTTTTAGTAGAGACGGGGTTTCAACGTGTTAGCCAGGATGGTCTTGATCTCCTGACCTCGTGATCCGCCCGCCTCGGCCTCCCAAAGTGCTGGGATTACAGGCGTGAACCACTGCGCCCGGCCTCTCTCAGAATTTATTTACCCATAATATTGGGAAAAAATAAACTTCCTTGTTGGGAGAATCAGGAATAAGCTATGCACATGGTCTGGCGGACAGTAAGCTCTCAGGAAAGAGTAATTTGATTTTTTTTGTTTGTTTGTTATGTGCTGTTTGTGTTGCTCTTGTGGTGGTTGTGGTGGTGATGATTATGGTTTTGCCTGTTCCTCATAAGAGGATCTTGTGTTTGCGTGTTCACAAGCAAACAGTGCTACAGTAGCCTGGTCTCCTTCTCATGGCCTGCACCAGTAGTTCTCCACAGTGGGTGATCTTGCCCCCTTGGGGACATATCCTACAATGCACAGAACAGCCCTTCCCCAGTAAAGAATTATCCAGCCCAAATGACAATAGTGCTGAGGTTAAGAAACCCTGGCCTACATGATAAACATAATAAACTCTAGAGGCAAGGACACCTTAACAACCATCAGAGTACTCATCACAAATTTCAAACTAGCCATGAAGGGAATGAAGGACCATTTTAGAAATAAGCATAAAATAAATATGAATAACTATTAAACAGGCTACCTGGTCAGTGAATGTGGCTGGGTATGTTCATGATTTATTCTTTTTTAGCAGTACATTCATTCTTGCTTCAGATACATATAGTATGATGAAGTCAATGCTCGACACCACCAACCTGAAGTAGTTAACTTGCCATAGACAAACGGGCTTTCAGTAATGCCCTAAATCTCCAATTTTACGAATTAAAAATCTTAATATGGGTGTGTTACATATCTAAAAGTTGATCAGACTGGACATTTAAGATGAATACACTTTCCACATTTTAATGTATAAAAATGTTTATATATTTCAGTATATAAAAATTTTATGAAAATAAATCTGTTATATAATCCAAACAGAACTGGCCTAAAGCTTTGCTTTGGAGATGACACCATATAAACTAACAGTATAAACCAATTTAGAGTGTGCGTGGACCATTCCGCACATCTGAAATACCTCTGTGCATTGAAACGACTCAACTGCCTTTTCAGATCACGCTTACTCAAGCTGGTCCTCTCAGCTCAACAACTTTTATTAGTGGACTATGAGTTTTAAAATAAAAAGCTCATGTGTATATGTATTTTTTAATTATCACAACTAACTCAGAAAGTCCTGTTCTCTTTCAACTCAAGCTAGTGAGGTCATCCTAGTCTAATATGGTTTGATTTCTCACTTGAGGAATGGCATTTTCAAACCACTTCAAGAAACAAAGAGCCAGCCTGGGGAATGTCTGAGGGTAGAAGGAAGTACAAAATTGGGAAAAGGGGTAAAGTCTAGTAATAATCAGTATTCTACTCCCTCCCTCCAATTCTTGAACAATGTACATACAGTTTTATACTCAGGATATAAAAATGCCAAAAAATATATTTAATTGACAATAAAGTAATAATTTGTTTTTTATGCTATTTATTTGAAATAGGATTTTGGAAAATTAATCCTGTAAATAGTAATGAGAGAGAGCATTTGAACCACTGATAACCTAAACTTTCCATTTAATTTTTAATGTAGAAAGGATTGGTGCTATTGAAAAACTGTCTAACTATCCTAGGAAAATGAGACGATGGTCCTCAGGCCACAGTTGTGTAAGTGATGCCAACTGGGAGTAAAGAAAAATGCACTTAACATTATTAGACATAACGTATTTTTAAAAAAAGATTTGACAGCATAGGCAAGTCTGTGGGTGGAAAAATCACGTTTGAAGGCAGAAGAGGCAAGAGCAAAGATACCCAGATCCTGCTCTGTGCTTAGTTTAATAGGAAGTGAAGGGGAATTAAGGTTGAGTATAAAAAACATCTTGAGTTGAAGCTCTTTTTTTTTTGCCTGTGCACAAATAAACTTTATTCAGGTATGAAAAGCAAGTGCTTTTTCAAATATGTAAAATCTAAAAAGTGTAATACCCACTGTATTAGTCCATTCTCACACTGCTATGAAGATATACCTGAGACTGAGTAATTTATAAAGGAAAGAAATTGAATTGACTCACAGTTTAGCATGGCTGGGGAGGCCTCAGGAAACAGTCATGGTGGAAGGGGAAGCAAACACATCCTTCTTCACACGGCAGCAGGAAGGAGAAGAATGAGAGCCAAGTGAAGGGGGATGCCCCTTATAAAACCATCAGATCTTATGAGAACTTAGTATCACGAGAATAGCATGGGGGAAACCACTCCCATGATTCAATTACCTCTCACCAGGTCCTTCCCACATAATGTGGGGATTATGGGAACTACAATTCAAGATGAGATTTGGTTGGGGACATAGCCAAACCATATCACTCATGGACTCATAATGAAGTAAGCATTAAAGGACTTACTTCAGCGAGGAGAGCACAGACTGAAGGAGCCAGGTGGAAACAAGAATATGTGAGTCAAGAAAATGGTGAAACATGCCAGTAGGAAAACCTATCTATCTATCTATCTATCTATCTATCCATCTACCTACCTACCTACAATGGTTAATTTTATGTGTCATCTTAACTGGACTAAAGGGTGTCCAGATCTTTAGTTAAACATTATTCTAGGTATATCTATGAGGATATTTCTAGATGAGATTAATATTTAAATCAGTAGACTGAATAAAGCAGATTCTTCACCTCAGTGTGAGTGGACCTCATGCAACCACTTGAAGGCCTAAATAGAACCTAAGGCAGAGTAAGGAAGAATTCATTCTGTCTGGCTGTCTTCAAGCTGGGACATGGGTCTCCTGCCTTCAGACTTGGTCTCGAACTGGAACTTACACCTTCGAGTTGAAACTCTTGATAGTCTAGTCTCTTTAACTCAGTGACAGAATTTGGTGCATCCGAGTTCCCAGAAATCAGAAGTATTGCTGCTTATAAAGCCACAGCATGGCCTCAGCAAAGGCTGAGAAGGAATGACTGAAATCAACAATGTTGTAAAGAATATCACTGACAAGGTAAATAAGAAAAATCTTGAAAAAGCAGAGTCAAATTCAAATTTAAAACCCTATTTTAAACATTAGGCGAAGAACTTAAAAATCTCACCAACCTAGTAAAAAAGGAAATGTATATAATTTCATTTCAATGTTGGTGAATTCATAGATTACAGATACACAGAGAATTTTAGGGAAAACTGAGATGAATGGGGGATAATCTTCCAGGTTACGGTGAAGGAAGAGTCTGGGCAAATAGGGGTGACTGTGTTCATCCCTTTAACAAGTATTAACTGTGCCCCTATCACATGCCAAGCACCAGGCTGCATGCACTGCAAAGGCAATAACACACTCCCTGCCTCAAGCAGGGCACAGGCTAGCGGGAGACTGGATGAGTAAACTCATGATTAGAATCGCAGACATGCTCCATTCTTCAAATATTTTCTTGTGCTCTTGATGACATCCTGCATCCTATTTCCATCTTGTATTCACCCAACTCAGAGTGTAACAGCTACTTGCATTGAAAATGTCTTTCTTCAAGAATAGCTGAGGTTTAGATAAATCTTTATAACTGTGAAAAAGTCTGAAATCCTTTTGTTCTAACTCTTTGAGAAGGCTGTACCAGAACCTCACGACGCTGCTGTCACTGCCACTGACCTCAAACCCAGGCCAGTGGAGATGGATCTCAAAGATGAGCTGTCCAATCCGCTCAAGAACATCTTCCAGAATAAGATTTTCCAAAACTTTCCATTCTGCACTTTCCAGATCTGCCTTGAGAACGTCAATCTGTAACAAAGCAATGAAATGAGATCAGCAGATTTAGTAAAACCATCTTGATATCAGGAGTTTCACATTATAACTATCTCTGAAGGAAGCAGAATTTTTAAAATTTTAGAGCTGAGGGTGGTTTTCAAGTGGCCATTTATGACATGAATTTCTAACCCCATTCCATACTAAATGTTTTGGTTTTTTGTTCTTGTTTTTAAGAGATGGGGGTCTCAATATGTTGCCTAGGCTGGTATAAAACTCCTGGGTTCAAGCAATCCTCCTGCCTCCACCTCCTGAGTAGCTGGGACTACAGGCGTGAGCCTGTTATGTTAACACGTTAATACACAAATGATGAAATGCCCGGCAAAAATCACAACAGACTGTCTTGCTTTTTGCCGAGTGGGAATGGATATCTGAGAAGGAGAAGGTAGAGTGAGTGTATCACAGACCTCTGTGCACCCCACAAACTATCTGCCACCCAGGAAACTCAGCCAAGTCCTGACAGAAGGTGTCTACAGAAAGGAAGTGACAGAGGGCCACTGCCTGCAGGGACTATCTTGCAAGCCTCATTCCCCCAACTCCAACTTCATCAACACTGGACACCAAGGAAAAAGTTATTGAGTATCTGAATATTGGACTATAAAAAAATTATTATTCTATGATTTCTTTACAATGTACATACCAGTATAGCATTCTAAAAGCAGCAACACCATCCTCTGCTTATTTAATGAACACAAGTTCACATTCAAGTGAGACAGAATAAAGGAAGAAGAGGATTGGAAGATCAATATTTTGCAATTAATCAAGTCATGAGAATCCGCTCCTCTTCACTGCCCATGCAAAAAATCCGTTAGAACACCAGAACCCTAAACACAGTGAAAGTTCATCTTTACCAAGTAATTATATGTACCTGACACCATGCTAAGGGTTTCCCCTTGCAATATCCATTTAATCGTCTCAACAACACTGTAAGGGTGATTCTGTGAGTATCCCTAAAGTTTAGGAAACCAGACTCAATGAGGAACCCATCCCCAGTCACATGGCTAGAGAGGCAGTGGTGAACTCTGAACAGAGTCTGTCTACAGAGCCTGTGTTCTTAACCCCTACGTAACATTGCCTCTTCCAATACACCCAAGAGGAAAAACGGGTAACTCAGAGTCCCAAAGAGGTTTGGAGTCTGGAAAATAAGGTGCTATCTAGAGAGCGAATATAGGTCAGTGAATAAAGTATTATTATCAATATTGCCAGTTTACATTTGCAGAGCACTTTTCAAGGGGGATAATTTTACCACATGGAGGAAAGCTGACAGCATTCAGACATAAACTGGAATAATGAGGCTGGAGGAGATCATTGCAAAGGCTGTAGCCCCACGAGGGGACAGCAGAACCTTAAGCAGCCCTTCAGGAAGCTGCTGACTGACGTCATGAATATCCTGCCCCATGAAAGTGAAAATAACTTTGCTTGTTTAGAAAAACAGATAAACACCAAGATGTATGCTACCCATTATTTCCCTTCTCATTGCATGTCTGTTTGATAAGTTTCTCATATGAGGCTCAAATGTGAGGCTCCTTGTGCCACAGAAACATTCTGACATAGTTTGGATGTTTGTCCTGTCCAAATATCATCTTGAAATATGATTCCCAATGGTAGAAGTGGGGTGTGGTGGGAGGTGTTTGGGTCATAGGGGTGGATCCCTCAAGAATGGTTTGGTGCTGTCCTCGAGATAGTGAGTGAGTTCTAGCTCTGAGTTCACGTAAGATCTGGCTGTTTAGAAAGAGTGTGGCACCTCTGCCCCCCTCTCTCTTGTTCCCTCTCTTGCCATCTGACAGGCTGGAGCCTCCTCACCTCCCACCATGATTGTAAGCTCCCTGAGGCCTCACCAGGAGCTGGTACCGGCACCATGCTTCCTGTACAGCCTGCAGAACCATAAGCCAAGTAAGCCTCTTTGCTTTATAAATTACCCAGCTTCAGATATTTCTTTATAGCAACACAACAGCAGCCTAACACACATTCCTTGGGTGATTTCAGGGTTGAATGGAAGAGAAGGTACACAGAATTTACATATAACAGCTACAAGAAAATGGGTTTTGTCCTGATGCCTGAGACTCTGTGCGACACGGTTTCACATTCTTGCCTTGGATTGTACCTCCCGGTCCACCAAGGAAAAAGTGATGGTAATACCCCAAGAATACTGAGTGCCTTAGGAAAGACTGGGTGTCTGTAAACCAGCTTGTCCGTTCAATAGTTCCAAACTCAAAGAGAAAAAGTTAAAACAAAACAAAACCTTTCTTCATGAGAGGAACTGAGCAAAGACAGGTTGCATGTGAATACACAACAGGCTAAAATAATTATTGTGAATCAGACACAGTGAAATTTAGCTGGATGCAGTGGCTGATGCCTGTAATCCCAGCAGGTGGATCACTTGAGCCCAGGAGTTCAAGACAACCCTGGACAACATAGTGAGACCTCATCTCTACAAAAAAAATAAATAAATAAAAATAAAACACTATTAATAAAGAAATTATTTCACTCATTTTTTCCAACTCTGCTGCCCTGGCATGTCCATGGCTTTGTTTAATCTTGGCAAATTTTAAACAGAATAATCATGGAATAAGGGGAATTAAGCTGCCAAAGGAAACATTTAATCAAAACTTCATAAAATTTTCTAATTGGTACAGAAAATATCCAAAACCTAAAACGAGCATTTGTTCTATCAATTCACATAGCCAAGAATGTCTTAGGTTCCTTATAGAGTCATGTTCCCCCTGGTTTTCTGTGAGTTTGCATATGTTGAATGTGAGGAATACATTGAAGTATTAAAGGGACAGAGTAAAATTTATCAGCTTTAAATTGACCTAAAAACTCTATTAGTGATGTATAAGGAATATATTTTGTATATTTATTCCAAACATCTTAAAAACAAACTATCAATCAGAAGTTATGAGAAAATCAAAGGGAACCAAATCATTAGGCTAAATTGTAGCAGAGCCTTTCTTTGAAAATCCAATGTTCATTTATAAAATGCTAATCTATTCTAAAGAGCAAAAAGTATTTTCAAACACAACAATACTCCCACCCTCTTTTGATTCCAGTGACTGAAAATCCGCCTAAATCATGCAGCCCAGGGTGGTGCCCCCTGGGGAGCACATAGCTCTTCTCTGCCTTCTGACCTGAGAGTGCAGGCAGCCAAAAGGCTGTGAATAAAACATGCTCTGCTCTTCCAGTGTGCTTTTTCTATTTCTCGCATTTTAAAACGTCCCATTACTGCAATGACTTTGCAAATGTGATTTCCATTATTACTGCATAATGCATCCAATATTATTGTTATTATAAAGCACTAAACACTGCTGAATAGGATATGCCACTTTGAAGATTCTAATATCAGCTTTCAACAATTATGCCACTAAAAATCATACAAATGATTAGATGGGAATAATCAAGCGCCAACACTAATACAGTTAGGATAAATCAGGTTTGTGGAGAAAAACAACTTAAGGTTAACACCCAGAAAACTCTGGAATAAGTGACATTCTTGGGTAGAAAGGTCTCAAAGAAAGTAGATGAAACAACGTATTTGGTATTATTTCCAGTGTATTAAAGGGGTCCTCCTATCAAAAATTATCTCCTTTTCCTTGTACCTGCAATATCCAATCAATTGACTTTCACAAACCTTTTGAAGAAATGAGAATTTTCGTTTTTAACTAGATTAAACCTGATGGCACCTGGCAGCTTCCTCATCATAGTCACAAGTTTATCCCTGTGATCATCCACCCAGAACTGCAGAGATTCGAGGAAAGGAGAGGAAGAGGCATGGGTGCTTGTATCCATTTCCAAGGGCTGCCGTAACAAAAGACCATGGATTGGGAGGTTTAAATAACAGAAGTGTATTGTCTCACTGGAATTCCAAGATCAAGTGTCCCTCTGAGAGCCATGAGAGAGAATGTGCCTGTGCCGCTTGCCTGGCTTCCCGTGGCTTGCTAGCAATCTTCAGCATTCCTCCACTCCTGCATCACCTGATCTATGCCTTCATCTTCACATGGTATTCTCTCTGTCTGTCCAAATTTCCTCTTTCTATAAGGACATCAGTCAGATTGGAATAGGGACCACCCTCCTCCAGTATGACCTCATTTTAACTAATTACATCTGGAATGACACTATTTCCAAATAAGGTCATATTCCAAGGTACTAAGGTTTAGAATTTCGACATTTTAATTTGGGGGAGATAAAATTCAACCCTTCACAGTGTTCAGGGTAGCTTTTGCAATAGGGCTTCTGCAATGTGTTTAGGAGCCAATTCCCAGGGCCAATGGTTAGGAAAAGTGCCCTACTCCAGAGATCCAAGGGCCAGCAACCATCTAACACAATTATGGTTATCATTCTAATGGATAAGTCCTTACATCAGCCAACACTGACAGCTCTGACCTCGCCAAGTGCCAAACCCAGGGCAGGTCAACAAGTTTCCAAAGTCAGTTGAAACCACCATCATGAAACCCCTCTACTTCATTCCTTGGTTCCTTCTCAGCCACACAATCAGGCCTAGTAGGGGCAGTTTGTCTTTGGCCCTCTCCTATTCCCTGTATGGGAACTCATTCAGACTACTCAATATCCTCACATCTACAGTTTCTAATCTGAGCCTTTTCCCCTTTAAGAGGGCTCTCAAGCAAAACACGCAGATTCTATGACATGTTTACTGGCCTGCAAGAGGGTAGAAATGGAAGCTGCAACACCTTTTAAGTAAAGCCTAGCTCTGGGAGTCACAAACATCACTTCCACTGCATTCCATTGGTCAAGGCAAATTGCAAGCCCAGCCTGCATTGAAGGGGAGGTGAAATAGATTCCAGCCCTTGAGGGAGGAGTGGCATACACAGAAAGGGGAAGAGAAGTTATTCATGGCTAAACAATTGACCCTAGTAATTAAAAGCAATATTACTTTATATAAATCCATAAATCAACTACAGTATTACAGTGGACAGGAACCTTTACTGGACACAAATAATACTCCAGAAAAAATGAATAAT